ATCTCTCCTTTTGAAAGACCTCTTATTGCTTTTGTAAAGACAGCATCTTCTAAACTCAGCAGGAGAAAATAACCAGCTCTCAGGTTCTCTGGCCTTTCAATTAGATACTTTCTAATACTTCCATTTCTGTGTGAAGTTGGATCTCTTCTCTGATACTTTGCCAGGGTAGTTCTAGAATTTCCACATCATTTAATTTAGGCCAACATCACTTTCAAACTTCAAGTTCAGTAGCATAGTAAGATAGACTACACGTGGACTTGCCTAAATGTTGAAATCTAACTCACAAAGGAGTGCCATTATAGAAATAGATTTTCTACTATCTGGTCTTATATTCTCTCCTCCCTGATCTAATATCTCAATATGTCAAAATCAACTCTTTGGAATATTCTCCAGGTTGCTACTGGTATTTATTAGCCAGATTCTGTAGTTCATTTGATGAATAATCCATTCTGTCAAGCAACCAAAGATCATCCCTTTCCACTCACGTCCTGCCAAACCTTGGCCGTAATTATTTGTCTAGAAGCAATAATGGGAAATGAGAACAGAACTTGAAAGAGGCAAGCAATACCTAAAACATCCTACTTAGATGAGGCTTTTACAGGACAATTATCCATTCTCCACTCTTCAAAAGGACCTAGGGTTTCAAGACTCAAAGATGTTCCCCCAAATATCTCATTCTGTTTTTTCAGAGTCCCTTTCCATTCCTATAAGGTACGCACTTTAGGGGAAGCCATTTGTGAGCACTTTGAATTTAGCCTCCTTTACTACTCAGCTTCTCCTGAAATGAAATCTAAAGACTGATTAACAGCATCATCTGTGCTGGAAATGAAGAAAAGAAGGGTAATTTGGGCTGCTGCTTAAAGGTCTTCAGCTTTCACACTGCATCCTAATTGAAGTATTGGTGCTATTGGTGCATCTGAGTACATATATTTTTCTTCCTTCAGAGTCTCTTTTTCTTTTTATATAATTTATTTCTTCTTTGTGTGTGTGTGTGTGTGCATGTGTGCACACTAAGGATCAAACCCAAGGCCTCACACATGCTAGGCAACTGCTCTATCACTAAGTTACATTGCCAGTCTATATTTCTTTTCTATAATTAACACATAACAATTATACACATATATGGGGTACAGTATGATATTTTAATATGTATATATAATATACACTCATCAAATTTGGGTAATAAGCATTTTCATCTCCTTACCATGTATGAGCCTTCATGAATATATTTCTCATTAAATGTATGTTCCTGTGAGCTATAACAGTCTTTCTGTGCTGTGAAATACCACAACATTTTCTTCCTATCTAATTGTATTTTGGGTCCATTATCTACTATCCCTTTCTTCACCCTGCCTACCTAGCCTCTAGTAAATGCTACTTTACTCTCTCCTTCTTTGAGATTAAATTTTTTAGCTTCCACATATATGAGAAAACAAGTAGCATTTGTCTTTCCACATCTAGCTTATCTTAATTAATATAATGTTCTCTAGATCCATCCATTTTGCTGCAAATAACACAATTTCATTTTTTATGGTTGAATGATATTCCATTGTTTATATATAGTGTTTTCTTTAGCCATTCATCCTACATTGAGTCCACATCTTGCCAATTGTAAATAGTGCTGCAATAAAGATGGGACTTTAGTTTGTTGATTTCATTTTCTTTGGGTATATACCCAGAAATGGGGTGTCTAGTGACAAAAGAGCACTGAACAGTCACTTCTCAGAAGAAGATATACAATCAATCAACAAATATATGAAAAAAATGTTGAACATCTCTAGCAATGAGAGAAATGCAAATCAAAACTACTCTTAAGATTTTATCTCACTCCAGTCAGAATGGCAGCTATTATGAAGACAAATAACAATAAGTGTTGGTGAGGATGTGGGGGAAAAAGGTACACTCATACATTGCTGGTGGGACTGCAAATTGGTGCAGCCAATATGGAAAGCAGTATGGAGAATCCTTGAAAAATTGGGAATGGAACCACCATTTGACCCAGCTATCCCACTCTTCAGTTTATACCCAAAGGGCTTAAAAACAGCATACTAAAGGGACACAGCCACATCAATGTTTATAGCAGCACAATTCACCATAGCTAAACTGTGGAACCAACCTAGATGCCCTTCAGTAGATGAATGGATAAAAAAATGTGGTATATATACACAATGGAATATTGTTCAGCAATAAAAGAGAATAAAATCATGGCATTTGCAGGTAAATGGATGGAGTTGGAGAATATAATGCTAAGTGAAATTAGCCAATCCCCCCAAAATAAATGCCAAATGATTTATCTGATTTAAGAATGCTGATTCATAATATGCTGCAGTGGGGTAAGGATGAGTGAATTAAATGAATTCTAGATAGGGCAAAGGGGAAAAGAGAAGGGAGAGCAAAGGAGGGGGCTTACAGGTAGGAAAGAAGGTAGAACGCTATGGTCATCATTACCCTAAGTACATGTATGAAGACACGAAAGCTGTGACTCTACTTTTGTGTATAACCAGAGATATGAAAAGTTGTGCTATATGTATAATATAAATTGTAATGCCTTCTGTTGTCATATATAACAAATTAAAATTAAGAACAATACAAAATTTTAAAAAATAAAAGATATGAATTTATAAACAACAACAAAAAGAAATGAGATGTCTAGATCATATGATAGTTCTTATTACAGTTTTTTGAAGAACCACCATTCTGTTCTTCACAATGACTGTATTAATTTACATTCCTATCAACAGTGTATAAGAGTTACCTTTTCATTCTCATCAGCATTTGTTGTTTTTTGCTTTTGAGATGCAAAAAAGCATTCTGACTTCACCATTCTGACTAGAGTAAAATGACATTGTGGTTTTGATTTGCATTTCCCTGTTGGCTAATGATGCTGAGCATTTTTTCATATATTTGTGAATATTTGCATATTTTCTTTTGAGAAGTATCTATTCATTTGTTTTCTAATTTTTTGAGGGGGGGCTTTTTGCTGTTGAACATTTTTAGTATTTATATATACTAGATGTTAATCCCTTATCAGATAAATAGTTCACAAATATTTTCTTCCATTCTGTAGGTTGGGTCTTCATGCTAATGATTGTTTCCTTTGCAGTGTATAAGGTTCTCAGTTTAATATCATTCCATTTTTCCATTTTTGGTTTTGTTGCTTGTGCTTTTGAGATCTAATCCAAAATATCACTGCCTATACCAATGTTTTGAAGTATTTCCCTTCTTCCTTTAGAATTTCTATAGCAATTAACAAAGTTCACAATATTTTAATCTTTCAAACCCAAGAGCAATAGCATTACCACCAAGCAAGATTCTTAACAATTATGGTGCTATATCTCCACAACATTGTCTACCAGAAATGGTTCCTTGCTCTCTATCACCTGGGTGGTGAAAGATTGAATTCTGAAAGCTGATATTAAGGATCTGCTTCCTAGGAAACTTCATGTTTCCTCTGTCTTACCCAACTTGGGTTGTGTTCCCTAGTAAGAAGACCCAGAGACAAGGATTTGACTTAATGCCATTTATTTGGAAAATGAATCAAGGTAAAAGAGTAAGGAGATAAGGGATGAAAGGATAGAAAGCAAATTTAAGGGTGAGACATGTGGAAAGATTACCCTTGTGGGAACCAGGGACTTAATTCCACTGAAGACCTCTGAGACTCCACAGAACATGCCTCAGAATTGCTCAATTTGAGCAATAAGGAACCCTGAGTATTTATCTTCCAGCATCTGCTATCATTGGCTGAGAGTTGTTCCTGGAAACATTGACTCCATGGCACTCCTGGCCTAACTTGCAGACTGGCTGCTCCAGGAGCCAGAGAATGTCCAAAGAGGGGGCTTATATAGACTTACATAGGAAGCTATGTTGCTGGTACTTATAGAAACAGTGTCAAGAATATTTAAGGAAAAATATCTGTTACAAAAGACAAGGCTGCTGTGAGTGTATTCCACTGATATGATTATTAGAGGGAAACAATACAAGCTACTTGCAGAATATCAGCACCACAGCCTTGTGATAAGCAAGACAGCACCATAAGTGTTTCAGTTGTTTCTTTTTACATTGATTGGTCTGACACCTTCTTGATAATTGAGGATATATTTCTGTGATTAACCAAAAATGTATACATACTACTTATTTTCTTGGCCTAAATACTGATATGAATAGCAGATGTAAATAGAATAGACTCATACCAATTTCTCATGTCTTTTCCGAAACAAAATTTAGAAATGCATCTTGAGAAGCATGGTTTCACTGCCAAAGGGTGGGGGTGGGGGGTTCACAATACTAAGAAACTTAAAGCACTTTCCAAAAATAGGGAAACAGCATCTTTTATGTTTTATTTTTTGCTTCTGAAAATATAATATATATATATATATATATATATATATATATATATATATATATATATTACATGTACAGAAGAGTCCCACAGATTCAGAGAAAGCTAACAGAAAGGCACATAGAGAGTTCAGGTCTTTTCATAAAGTTTTCAGTTAAACCAACATCCAGGGCACGGCAAATGACAATGCAGACAACAAAAGCACAGGAAGCCTGTGTACATGACTCTGAAGAGCTAAATCATAGACAACTCCCAGGTCTGCCAAGAATGGAGGTCATCTCTGGAGAAAATACCATTTCTATTTAATAGGCCTGTCAGACCATCACAGAATGTATTGAAGTCTGAACAAAGACACACCAGGGCAAGCAAACACCAATGCTTAACTTGACAGCTAGTTTGCTCTTATCCCCTTCTCTTTAAGTCCTGAGGCCTTTGCTGATTTAAAGGAGCAAATACCAGGGCTGATTCTGACCCTGCAACATTTTGCTCAGCTATTCAACACAATTTTGTAACAGACTAAATATTTAAAAAGCTTGTAAACACTGTGCTGATGGTGGTGAACAAACATAAAACAAATATTTATTATTTCTCTTTTACAGAAAAGATACAGGCAGAGATCTTTGGCTTGCCACATATGTTTCCCTATCCTGACATTTACCCAAAATGGTAAAAATTGAGGCACAATTCATGGGATCATAGGGTTATCTTCATCACAGGCCAGCAGAGGAGCCTACTAGGACTTGGCACAGCTGGAGCAGCTGACAGCCTTGGGTGAGGTGAGATGGGGCTTCACCAGGTCCGGCTCTATGGACTCCATTAGATCACACTCATTGGCAAGTATGTGCTTCACCAGGCACCTGGAGGCTTCGTCGATGTTTATATTTTCCTAAGGACAAAAAACAGCTTTTCTTAGTCAACATTCTAAAATGACCTTGAACATTCTAAAATGAAGCAGAGTCCCACATGTGACAAAAGGACAGTTACTTGATGATTCATAAGTATACCCTTCTATATACTACCTATAAATTCTCTTATTTCCCCTCATCCTCATTTATTCCTTCAAAAAATTTACCTTTTGATCCCTCATAAAAGTACATGTACTTATTTTAATTTGTGATACAGGAGTAGTGTTTGATGGATTCACTTAACAGATAGAATTTGTTAGAGGGTAATTTTCCTATTTGCATATACTCTTACATTATAACGTAATACTGCAGAAGAAGTACAGGTTTTCAATCCAGCATAGGTTTCTTGTCCTCTGCTATATTCTACTTCTGTGGCCTTGATATGAAATAAAAATAATGGAACATGTTTTGCAGTGGTCATTAGGGGATTAACAAAATTTCTGGTTCTCTACTCAGCAAATGGTAGGTGTCCACTACTTCTGACCTCCTTGAAATTAGGCCTGGCTGGCTAACTTTTGTTAATCAGTGAAATGTGAGAGCTGATGAGTCTCACCCTTATATAGCAGCAACAAAAGTGAATGCTCAGTTCCCCATCTTCTTTTCTTTGTCTCAGCAGTCATGGAAACAGAGAGAGGAATTCTCTTGCCTAGGTCTATAGTGAAGGATGGAGCAGAGGCAAATTTCCCCTCAGCCCATGAAGTTATTTGTAGTGTATACGAAAATTATAAATTCATTGTTTCAAGCCACTGAGACCTGAAGTTGTCTTTTACTGCGGCATTACCTAGGCAATCCAGATGGATATAACTCTTTACAGGAAAATATAAAATCAGAAATACAAATAGAGTTTCAAGAAATAAACAAGCTTTAATTTAGAGAAAATATGGAGCAAGCATTTGAATCCAAAATATGTTATGTATTTAATTACTTTAGAATAAATTGCTTTGTCTTCCTGCTAGTCAGAAAAGAGAAATACAGAATGTTTGCTACCAGTATGCTAAAATAAAATATCATATCATTTCTCAGGTGAAAAGTAGTAGAGTGAAGATCTCCAGTAAAATTAAATTGTGTTGTTTTTCTCACAATTTTTAGAACTTCTCTGATGTGTTTTCTCATATTCAGTATGAGGAGACAAGCACTTTCTTGTTGCCAAACTGTTTTACTACACTACCTTGCTAACCAATCTGAAACAGAACTACTTACCCTTAATTTTTGTGTGGATGTTTATGTATTTTGAGATCATTGCATCAAGTCATGTTACATGGAAAATGCAAGAGGCAGTGATGGCTTCTAAATGCACCCTTGGCTAATGACATTAGCTGTACATGCTAATACTCATTAGCATGCTCCCCTGCCTCAAGTCCAATCCTGATTTTACCTGATGTGAAAGCACAAGGTAACCTAGAGACCCAGGCTGTATAGAGCTTTAATGAAAATGCTTCTGAGAGTTTCTAAATCCAAAACACAAGATAAAAGTCTTGTTACCTTTTTGCTTGTGCTAGGTTATTGTTGTGATTTTTGTACTTAAACAGTATAGAGGTGTTTGAGCCTCTGTTTCTTCAACTATAAAGTGGCCTGGCTGATAACACTTCCCTAACAAAGTTAACCTGCTTCTCTTAACAGGGTGTTGTGTTCATTGACGACTTTGCAGGGGGAAGAAGCTAGGCACTTTATAGTATTTAATCTCATATTAAACACTACTAGATAAAGATTAGATTTTTCTTCTTACTGATTTTGTTGTTATTGTTGGATGGAGGTAAAGGTGGTGTTTCTTCTTTCAACTCAGGTGTCTGACTTATTCCATGAATGGCAGAGACTAGCAGTGCTTGTGCCCTGTCCCCTGCTGAGCAGGCTCCTGTGCCTTAAGTCATTGCCCATGCTTGACATACCTTTTGTCATTCTTTCTCTTCCTACTGTCATGCCCAGAGTTCACATTTAAAGTACCTGCTCCCAAGCAATAATGCGACCTAGACATGGCATGGCTCTTTGGGACAGACCCAGTTTGACACTTTGCTCCTGAGTCCAACCACTTGTTTATGTGTTTGAGTAGAATCCTTCTCAATGGTCCTCTACTGTCTCACCATCAGGATGGTGGGGATGGGTAGCCTTGCCTCACCATCTAGCCTCAGCCCCATAGGCAAGCAGAAGCCCTATATTGATTGGAATGACTTTAACATACTTGACCAGCAGTTAATAAATTAAGACTTGGATTTCCATTTGACTATTGCCTGTGTGTTGGGGAAAGATAGAATAAAACTCTACCCCAAATACCAACCATGACAGAGCATCATATACGTTTACATATAAGAAAAATTAAGTTTAGACAAGAGACTTCCTTACAATCACAAAGCAGGTGGGCTGCTGGTCCAGAACTCACACCCAGGTCCCTCTGACATTAATGTCTTTTTATTGCTAAGCCAAATATCTTTTAAAAATTGTTTTTAGAATCATGTACAAAAGGAAATTTAAAAAGAAACACAACATTTCCCAATGTTAGAACCAATATGTACTAAATAAATTTTAATTCCTTTCCTTTTCATATATTATGATAAAATGTTTAAGTGATGGGGAAAAAAAAGCTCTAAACATTTAAAAAGGTCTCTTTCACATACAATGTAAATTAGATTTGTCACTAGTATTTTTTTAAGTCTCTGCTCATCTATTAATGTTCCACTTAAATAGGTCTATTGCATGTAAATCAGTAAAATCTACTCAGAGCAGAGTTAAATGCTAGCATGGGCAAATAAATAAAAATCCATCATCATTATGAGAAAAACAACAAAAAATCTAAGCCTAGCAGAATCATGTTAGTGAAATATAAGATGATGCTGGTGAAATTGTTTACACCAAGTAAACGCTCTTTGGTGTTAGGACTAGGACATGAAGTCTCTGAGGATGGGGCTTCAGAACAAAGAACAGGCAAAGACAAGTAGTGGGAGGGTGTGTGTGGAGATGGCAGATACGAATACAGCGCAGTTTATGGTGAATGAGCCGCATTAATTCTTTTAATTAATACAATTTAGATTTCTGCTAAGTACTAGGCACAGAGATAAAGATAATAAAATCAGTCCCATTCCTCACTGAGCATCACTTAAATATTTTATCATAATATATGAAAAGGAGCAAGATTTGTATAAACAACAAAGACATTTTTTTAAAAGAGAGGAAAGGGCATCTCAGGGACAGATCACAGTAAAGCCTTGAATATTCAGTTGGTCAAGTGATGTCACTGAGCTTTTCTTGCAGGTGAAGTGTTGGAAAACACAGTACTACACAAATCCAATATCAGTAAGACTGTACAGATGCTCAGCACTCTGTTTTGACAATTAGTATACTGATAAGCATTTAGTGAACACTTACAATGTTTCCCATTGTGGTAGATGCCACAGTATACCAATTTCAGATTAGGAATTTTAAGAGGACATCATGAAGAAAAGCACATGCTATTATCACCACTATATTTACTGCATGCTTTCTAGAAATAGGCAAGGGGTATAGTTTAGAGCAGAGGCCTGAAGTCAAACCCTCATCTCAATTCCTCTACTTTCTTGCTTGTGTAACCTTGAGAAACTTATTTTGATCACTGCTTGCGTCAGTTTTCTCATCTTTAAAAGGAAAACTTTTAAAATCTACCTCACCAATGATTATGAATTAATTACAAGCTACTACATAGAATGTGTGAAATACCTACATCAGTGAAGGGCATACAGCACACATTTGATACATGTTATATCCATATTCTCCTCATACAACACCCCACTTAGTCAATAATGATGTGTATTCAACAATAATATGTGTGCTCTTTCTTTCATTTGGCAGCTGAGGAAGTTCAGGTTGAAAGAGAATAAGTGGCTGGCCCCAGGTCACACACTAGTAAGAGGTAGGGCCAGTTGTGAGCTCAGGGAAAGGATTAAATAACAGACTGATCACATGCTTTCTACAAAAATATGAGTAAGATGTGTATCATTTAAAGCACAGGTTAAAGCCAAACCTTCATTTCAGTTTCCCTAAAATACTTACCAAAATAAATAAAGTAACAGAATGGACAGGGCCCTTTGTTCCAGCACAAAAAAAGTATAAGAGCATACACTCAGGACCTCAGGCAAAGCTGATTTATATTATTGACACATTTCCAAATATATCTGCTCTCTCTGACTTTCTATACACCACTGAAGTCACAGCCAAAGGGTCCAGACTGGGCGAAGGAATGGCAATACAGAGCAAACCTCTCTCTCCCCTTCTATCCTAATGCTAGCATGGATAATCAAACCCTGCATGATGAAACCACAAGTTCAGATCCTGTGAGCAGTTAGATTGCAGTATGATTGATTAAGCTACTTGGCATCCAGGTTGATATAGCCAGCTCACATTTTCTGGGTGATTGTGTAGAAACAGAGCTGCCAGATCAAGTGTAAAATAATACCTGGGAGTTCTCATCTGCATTTATTATAGAGAGTAGCAACAAAATCCCCCAAAGCATCTTTTGCTAGAAAGGACATTTACACATTCTATAACTTCCAAGTCACGTACACTCAGACTGGATCTGACTGTGATTTATTCACATATCTGCAATATGACAAGATGTACTATTGTGCTGACTGTTTTAGGTTGATGCATGCTCATGTTTGTGCCACTGCTAAGAATCTTTTCATTTATATCAATAAGTAAGCCTGAGAAACAGGCTTAAAATGACTAATAAGGCATTTTACTAAAAACAAATGATAGTAAACTACCAAATTAAGGAAGTACTTTATTTATGAAATAACGTTCACATCTACTCCTCACCAAAATCTATTATAAAGCTGATAGACATGTTAAAAGTAAAGAAGCAACAAAAAAGTTATATAACTTATTCAGAATAGAGTATGATTTTTACCAATCTGACATGTCAACCAAAATGGCTCTGTTGACAAATTCCCAGCCTGCTTCTTCCTATACGTTATGTTACAACATCTCCCGTGATTTAAATAGATATCTCAAATAG